GGTTCTTCCCTGTGTCTAAACTCACAGCAAATCCCATTCTCCTATTACCCCATGCTGTCTGATCTATACTGACTCCCGGGTCAGCCGCATCTCTCTTACCCTATCTCCATCATCTCCCCCAGCCCCATAAATCGGCAGAGAGATATCTGCACTTCTTTAATTCTGACACCCATCAAGCATTCTCAATTTTAAAGTCACTCCACCATTGGTGGTTACACCTTCACTTGTTTAGAGCACCCCCCTCCAACCCCAAGTTCTTGGATTCCCTCCCTCAATCACTTCCCCTCTCTCTCCTTGTTTAAGACACTCCTTAAAACCTGGAATAAAAACAAAATTGCTGGAAAAACTCAGCAGGTTCTGAGGAAGGGTCACCGGACCCGAAACATTAACTCTGTTCTTTCCTTTACAAGTGCTGCCAGACCTGCTGAGCTTTTCCAGCAACTTTGTTTTTGTTCCTGATTTACAGTATCCGCAGTTCTTTCGGTTTTTACTCCTTAAAACCTACCTGTTTGACCAAACATTTGGTCAATTGTCCTAAAACGTGGCTCAATGAATATCCCTGAACTTTACCTTTTGAACTAAATTACTGGTCTGTTCTGTGAAAACAAATTTGGAGAATTCCACATTGGAGTTTTTTTTTTAAAAAAAAGGTATTGCAGTTACAAAACACAGAATCTCAAGAAATTTCACATAATTGCTACAAGCAAGTGCTGCCACTTGTATTCCCAAGCTACTGCTGCATCCTGCAGATTTAACCACAAACTCAAGAGTTAGCTTCGATATTCCCAGAAACCAAACTCCAATCAGAAGACAAATACCTGTAGATACTTTCAGCCTAGTGGCAGCTGACACCCTGATGTAGTGTGCAACACACAGACACACTCACACAGACTCCTGTGATGAAAGATGTGGAACATTTAAGAAGTGATGAGCTCTTGTGGCACCATGAGTCATGCTCCTACCTCTGGGCCAAAAAGTTTCAAAACATTCAAGTAACTGCACAGGAGGGAATGACCACAGAAGGTGTGTAATAACACAACAAAACGGGTTGATCCAATGTTAAAAGACTTCATCATGCCAATTGTTGCCACAAGCAAGTATCATCCTTGTTCCAAAGGACAAGAACACCCACATCTCATAGCCAATAGAGGAATTCTTGGGAATCATAATGATTTTGGCAATGCTAGTGCTGATTCAAAGGAGCCTGGCAAACGCCTTGCAGGATTGCTTTCCCTCTCAAAAAAAATCAAGTTCACATACTCCAGAGGTAGCCATGTCCCTCCCCAAAGGCTAACTCACAGATTATTGGAAAAGCAAACTGCTGCTTCTTGGACACACTACCCAGCCTCCTTAAAGCAGAGACCTGCAAACTCAGTCCGATGACACGCACGATCAGAAAGTACCTCAGACACATCACAAAACTCAAGCTTCTCCAGAATCTACAGGGTGCCTTTCAAATCTGAAGTGGCAAGTCTTTGGTGGGGTTGTGGAGTCTGGGTTTGAGTATATTTTAAGACAGGAATCAATAGATTTCTAGATATTAAAAAAGTATCAAAGGAAAATGGTGTCGAGGTAGATGCTCAGCCATGATCACATTGAATAGTGGTGCAGACTTGAGGGGCTGAATGGCCTGAGCCTTCTCCTAATTTAGTAACAAGAGGAACCTACAAATCTGTGAACTTTTCCTTTCCAAGGGCCCCGCTTTCCCATAAAGGAAATCCTTAGAGTACCTTTTCAATTTCAACAAGCAATATTTTAAACCAGAGTACAGCACTGAGGAATGAATAGAGGGAGGGTGTGGACAGAAGTATTTTGTTTCAGTTGAATTCGAGTTGGTGTACATTGTTTGAGAGCACCAGGCTCCACCTGTGTATGTTGGAGTGGCTGGGGTTAGAGTACAACTCGGAGCTCGTGGTAAGGGAGCAGGTCAACTAGAGCTGGCAAGAAAAAGGTACA